ATATCGGATATCGGCCAAAATCCCAATATCGTGCATCCCTAGTTTATTTATTTTAATTCAGACATTTTGAATTGAAATGGGAATGAATGGGAAGAGAAACATCTTCAAACTTGTAAACAAAGTCCACTGGATTGTTTTTAATTTAACCTGAATGACTGAGAATCTTCACCAGCAATTTGTTTGGAGTCAAATAAACTAAAATTAAATATGTTTTCTGGTGGGAAATGGGCTGAAGGAAAAGAACCATAGTTGCCACCTAAAGTGGAAAGAGAAAATCTCCTGTAGGGTGAAAACTGGATAAATGGGGGATTCAACAATTGATTCCGAAGCTGGAAGTGAGTTTCTAAAGCTGCGTTTCTCTTTCCATCGATCCTAAGCAGGTTTGCTGATGAGGTCGTCTGACAGAATAATTTGTTTGTTCACCAAACTGAGTGCTAGAATTGAGAAACCTCTGAATATAGTTCTCAGAAACGATTTCAAACTGCATACAATGAAATCTAACACTAAAAATTATCTAGAAATAAGTACAATTTACTTAAATTAAGTGTATTCACTCTTAATTTGAGTAGGTAAATGAGATGATTTGCCAATTAAATTAGTATTTTTACTCTTAAAAATAAGATCATTAGATAATATGCATTTGAAATAGGACAATGCAATTGTGTTTTCTTATTTTAAATGTAAATTGTCTTGTTCCATTGGCAAAATGTCTCTTTTACCTCCTCAATTCAGAATTTTGATTCATCTTTAAAAAGTTCAGTTAGAATTGATGTTTAAAAACTCAGAATGTTTATTTTGACACTTTTTATTCTTTTCTTTTCCATTTGAGGATTGACGGGTTTAAAGAATCAGATTTAAAAATGGTTATTGTGGGATATTTAGTGATAAGAATCACTTCTTTATGTAGCTGGAGTCCTGAAGACGCCTATTTAAATGAATTCATTTTGTAAGAGCATTATTAATGACTGCACTGCACAAAAATGGAAATCTAAAGTAATTTTTGCTCAAATTAAGTGCATTTTTTCTTGAATTGAGGAGGTAAGTAAGACAGTTTGCCTATGGGAAAAGACGATTTACATTTAAAATGAGAATAAAACAATTGCTTTGTCTTATTTCAAGTCTATATTAGTTAATTATCTTATTTTATGAGTAAAAATCCTCATTCCATTGGCAGATCATCTTATTTACCTGCTCAAATTAAGGGTAAATACACTTAATTTAAGACATTCTTTACTTATTTCTAGATGTTTTTTTGCAGTGTGCTGCAGCATAGGGGCCTAAGAAAGATTTCAAAAGAGTAATTAAGTTTCTTTAGAGTCGCTAATCATGATAGTACCACAAATTATAACATTTAAAGTCTTTGCCGCCCAGTTCTAGTTACAGCCGATATCTGACGTCCTATATCGTATATTTCCCTTCACGTTGGACGCCATGAAAAACCAAAAATAATACCGATGTTTCTTTTCTTCTGTTAGAAATCCACAATCCAAATATACAACATGACTGATAGCTTTCAATCCTGAAACAAAAACAAAACTATAAGAAAATAACAGACATAAAAATAAAAAATTGGCCCAGATTTAATGATCAGATTGATACTAACCTGCTTACAAACCACAAACATCACTCATCCTAAAAATAATAATGTATCCTGTTTTTTTTTTTTTTTTTTTAAGAAATCAGGCTCTACACAACGATCGTTAAACACCACCTGAAATTATTTTATTTATTTTTACTGGCTGCAGTTGGTTTTGTAATTTACTGTGGATAGTTTAAGGCAAACAGCCACAGAAACAGAGTCTGCACTCGAACGCCTCTCGGCCAAACGCCACGAACACGTTTACAAGAACAGAACTCCTGGAAAATGCAGACTGGCTCCAGATACGATGCAAACTCTGCATCATTTTTCCTCGTGTGCGGCTGACATCACCGCCTAATTTAATGCAACCCGTCAGTTTTCCCTGTTTCATTGTTTTTACCGGAGTTCTGTTTGTTTTTCAATCATTTACAGCAGAAATCCGGCTCAAACGTGAATAAAAGCGTATCTAGTGGCCATATATCAGACCTGAGCTCGGCCGTCGGGATTCTGAATGGCACAAACCAAATTTGATCAATCAGCTTCCTCCTTCCAGAGACCGACCAGTTCTGGCAGGTTTGTTGAAAACAAAACATCTGGGAATGTGTCCGCCGTGGGAAAGTCCAAACTGAAGTGGCGTTCCTGCATCAGGCCAGGTTAAAGCCTTGATTGTGATCTATGGCGTGTAGAAGCTTCTCTCTGAGTGTTTCTATATTGGTGTATTTGGGAAGGTCTAAGAGGTTGAAGCAGGTGTGGGCTACAGGTAGGTAATGCTCGCCTCCACCGGTGGGCTGGATCACCAGCTTCAGGCTCTTCATGCCCAGGATGGGGATGCGGTCGCTTCCTGTGAGGAACACTGGGGGAAAAAAGGTAGAATGGGAATTCTTAGCTTAATGACAGAAGATGTTTGAAACACGGTTGGTTTATCTGGCAGTTTGGGATAAACTTACAGAGAAACTGCTTTTTCTTTTCCAATGGAAGCTCATGGAAGACCTCCCAGAAGAGCTTTATGGTTGGATGTTCAGCCCAGTATTCTCCTTTATATTCAGTGCTCTGCAAAGCAAAAAAAACAGGAATTTAAGTCTTGAATAGCGTGAATAAATTTGACTCCATCCATTGCAAAGATATTTAGCTTTTCCACATTGTTCACCTTATTAGGTGACAAAATGTCACCTAATGTTTTAGGGGTTTTTTTGTTTGACCAACACAGCGGTGACGATTGGGACGAATAATAGTTCAAATTTCTATGAAAAATTGAATCTGAAAAGATTAACTCCTTAAGTCCAGAAGGTTTTAAGAGCAAATTCCACCTGAAATTACATATGTAAGTTACTATAAACAGGGTTCCTGCAGCATAAGGCAAGTTAAATTCAAGACTTTTTAAGACTTTTTAATGCCACTAGAAATAAAAATTTAAGACCAAATTCACAAGAAAAACCCGCTTGCGACAACTTAACCCAAAGGTTTATTTTAACATAGTGGGACGGGACAGGAGTGAAAATCCACTCCCGTGTCAGTCTCTAATGTAGACCAAGAGGACAAAGCTGAACCAGATTTATAAAGTTTACTCCTCCACCTTCCATCGATCTGCTGCAAAGAACTCCACACTTTGCTGTTGTAATGTAGCAAAAAGTAAACCATATCAAAACGTTTAAAAGTTTGTTGAACTATCAATTTTAAATCCAAAATGTTATCAAAAAGACCTTTTCCAGCTCTGTCCAGTCATAGTTGGTGTTTCCGATGACCATAGCTTGGAGTTCGCTGGGCTGGAACAGATCTAAAACTTTTCCGCCACACACTTTGTGGAAGCCTGCGTAGAAGCCCTCGAACAGCGGCCCTACGGAGGAGTTGAAGACGTAGTCGACGTAGGCGTCCACAAAGTCCTGCCTAGGAGAGAAGTTCACACGGGTCGGATCAAACGGTTAGAGCTGCCTGATCGGTTAACGACTGCGGAATGAGGCGGCTTAGGGAATCTTACCGGTTCGACTTATTGACATTGATGTTCTCACCGTTTGGTACCAATTCTAAGACCTCGGTGG